ACGTCTGCGTCCCCCCCCCCCCCAGACTTGTCCTGAGAAGGGACCTTACCCCAGGGGCTCTGCATCTGCCAGAAAATCCCAATTCCCTGCCCACAGATCCTATAAGTAATGGCTCTGGTTCTTCGTAGAGAGGCAGGAAGCATCAATGGTCTAGACTTCCAGGTTCTGAAATGAGTTTGTGGACTTTCCTGAGCCTGCTACGTAGCCCAGGCTCCGTCTGTATCCTTGCCTCATCTGCATTCAGCCTGCCAGTACTAACCCTGCTTCTCACACCTTGGCCTCTGTCCTCTTGTTTGCTAATATCTTTCTGTTCCAGCTGTGCTCATCCCCCCTGCTCCAGCCCAGGCCACACCCTGGCCATGCCAGTTCTTCCCCGTGTATCCCTAGGAGTGGGTCTGGCTTGTCTGCTCTTTTGTGAGCTGTCCTGAGTCACACTGAGTGTCCCCTATTACCTTGCCTCCATCTGAGGGGACTGAAGGACCAAACTCATAGGCCTCTTCTTGTATTACTGTGGTCCCCAGCACACTGGGTTCCTGGAAGCTCTCAGAAGTGGAAGAGCTTGGACAGGAAGTTGACCAGCTGTGGAACCCTGTTTGGGACATTGCGGAGCAGAGGTGCCTACCGTGGAGTAGCTCTGGGAGTGGCTTTGTCTTTCTAAGGTTGATTCTGGCTCCTAAGAATAAAGGGAGTGGCCAAGCAGAGTGGTATATGTTTCTAATTCTAGCATCCGGAAGCTGAGGTAAGTGAATCTTCAAGGCCAACCTTGTCTACTTAGCAAGTTCCAAGCCAGCCAAGAGCTGGTCCACCTAGGCATGGCCCTTCAGAGGGTAGGAGGTACTTAGAATATGCCCTCCTCCTTAACCTTCTACTGTCTGCTTCGGCTAACATCCTGCCCACCCTGCCTTAGCCTTCCTCTTCTGGGGTACCCAGGTCCCAGGTAAGCCAATCTCTCAGATGAGCCATGCCCAGACAGGTAACACCCCTGGTTCCTTCCCTGGCCTCACTAGCAGCGCTGTGGGTACTTTTGAGACAGTTCACTGGGGACCTCAGTTCCCTGTGAACCCCCACAGGGACTCGACAAAGTCTCAAGTTGGGGGTTTTGGTCTTTGTCCAGGGATGTTAGCTTTTGTGAGGCTTGGTAGTCACATTCTGAGCAGGGAACGAGAGTTATCTTAGAGAAACAGAACGAGTAGCCCAGGTTAGTGGACAGTCATACCCGTGTGAAGAAGATTCCAGTCACCTGATGGTGGTGGCCTGGGACCTCAGCTTCAGGCACCGGGCACATTTTCTCCCTGAGAGGCAGCAGGGCACTGAGGCCTCACACCTTTGCCAGGGTCACATGGCTGGGCCTGAGAGTTGACTGTTGTGTCCTGGATTTGCAGCTGGTACTTCAGTGGGATCAGCAGAACTCAGGCCCAGCAGCTGCTCTTGTCTCCTGCCAATGCACCAGGGGCCTTTCTCATCCGGCCCAGCGAAAGCAGCATCGGGGGATATTCCCTGTCAGGTACTCAGACAACCCCTCAAGACCTCATATCTTGCTCAGCTCTCCTTGGCCAGACCCTCTTGACTTTGGAGTGGTTGGTCCCTATACTGGAAGCCCTTATATAGACAAGTTAGCCATCAAGCTCCCTCCCTTCCTTTCTCCCTCTCCCCACTTTCTCCATTCACGACCTAGCAGACTTAATGTTTCATTCAACATGTACCTACTTAACACTCTTAGTCCCCAGGCCCCCCTGGCTGTCCTGTGGCCCGTAGCTTCTCATGTCCCCTCTTGCACAGAGTATTGTTGACCTCAGTGACCCCCACGGCCAATCTAAGTGGAGCCACTTGGGATGCTGGGATATGGGTATCTGAGGCAGGTGCAGCCAAGACACTGTTACTTATTTCTGTCTCCAGTCCGGGCCCCAACCAAAGTCTGCCACTACCGCATCTGCATGGCACCCAGTGGCGGCCTCTACCTGCAGGAGGGCCGGCTCTTCCCCAGCCTGGACGCATTGCTTGATTACTACAAGACCAACTGGAAGCTGATTCAGAACCCTCTGTTGCAGCCCTGCATACCCCAGGTGGACCTGAGACAGTCTCCATATCTGGGGACCACCGAGGACCCTATCTTAGAGTCTCCCTCTGGCCTAGACTTGGCCAGGGAATATCCAGTGTCAATGGCTTCTTCATTCTGATGGGGTTGCCCCCATTCACCAGTTTTATCTCCTCTGAGGCTGTTGGAAGACTGGGGACCCTCAAGGGGGATAGGATGTTCCCAGTTCTGCCGGGCATCAGGAGGAGTCAAGGCTAGTGTGGGAAGGCACCCAGATCTGCTTCAAGTCCTGAGGGCAGAAGCTGAGAGAGGAGATATTGTTTCCCCTAGTATCTGATATTACTGGGTGCAGGGCAGCAATCTGGTTCCTCTGGTTCTGTAATCACAGCCTAGCCAGGGGTTATAATGAGTGTTTGTAGACGGATGTCCGGCTCTGGTAAAGCGGACGCATAAGTCCCCAAAGCAATTAGCTTTCTAGCTCTGGGCTTGGCCTCCTGGAGGTCAGCTATGGGCTCCCCTTTTTCCCTGACTGGGCCCGGAGTGAGGGAATGCTGGGGAGGGAAAGGCTGAGACCTGTTGCTGGGGTTCTTCCTGAGACTCACAGGGAGGCTAGGTTCAAACAGGAGCTGGGGGAGTCTTAGGCAGCACACTGAGTGTTCCTTCCCACAGATGCCCCTGGCTCAGGACGAGTGGGAACGACCACGATCAGAATTTGTCCTTCGGAGAAAGCTGGGTGAAGGCTTCTTCGGGGAGGTGTGGGAAGGCCTGTGGCTGGGCTCTATGCCTGTGGCGGTGAAGGTTATCAAATCAGGTGAGGCCTTGCTCCCAGGCTTGGGCAGCACTGCCCTCTGACCCCGGAGCCTGGGGCAGTGGTGGCCAAGCACAGTCCTTTCCACAGCTGACATGAAACTGGCAGACCTCACCAAGGAGATTGAGGCGCTGAAGAGCTTGAGGCATGAGCGACTGATCCGGCTGCACGCCATATGCTCCCTGGGTGAACCCGTGTACATCGTTACTGAACTCATGGGCAAGGGCAACCTGCAGGTCTACTTGGGCAGTGAGTGAATACCCTCCCCGAAATCACCCTGCAGCGGCCACATCTGCCAGCCCTCATGATAGCATTCAAGCCCTGGGTCCACCAAACAGAATCTTTAGGCCTTTGGAAGAGACACATGTGGCCCAGGATGCAGACATCTGGTCCTACTGAGCCTCTGGTCAGCAGAGGCATTGAGGCCAAGGGTCTGGGCCAGGCCTACATTTGGCTACCTTGGGGGTAGTCTGGGTTAAGTACTATCTCTCTTGGGGGTCCAGGGAGGTGCCAAGAAGCAGCTTGCACTGGGGCCTGTGGTGAGGGCAGGACTCCCTTTTCCATTTTGTTCCTCGCCTGCTAGGCCTTAGCTGGTGGTGCTGTTCTCACTTCCTCCGAGATGGGGGGAGCCAAGGCACAGAGGAAGATTGTGTGCGTGTGCGCACTTGTCTTACTGGCTATCAGCCTGTGCCCTCGGGAGTTCCGCCACCCCACCCCTCTCTCTGCAGGCCCTGAGGGAAAGGCCCTGAACCTGCCTCACCTACTGGGGTTTGCCTGCCAGGTAGCTGAGGGCATGAGCTACCTGGAGGAACGACGTGTCGTTCACCGGGACTTGGCCGCCAGGAACGTGCTCGTGGGTGATGACCTCACCTGCAAGGTAGCTGATTTTGGCCTGGCCAGGCTGCTCAAGGTCAGTGGGGCTCGAGGCTCCTAACCCCGGCAGAGGGGAAGGCATTGCTCTGAGTTCCCCACCATTACCCTCATCCCCAGGATGATGTCTACTCCCCAAGCAGTGGCTCCAAGATCCCTGTCAAGTGGACAGCACCGGAGGCAGCTAACTACCGTGTCTTCTCCCAGAAGTCAGATGTCTGGTCCTTTGGCATCTTGCTGTATGAGGTCTTCACTTATGGCCAGTGTCCCTATGAAGGTGAGCTGTCTGAGAGGCAACTATAATTCATCATAGCAAGTTTAGTCAGAGGGAGGTAGCCTGGGGTCCTCCCTGAGAGAAGAGATATACCCTGCCCTGGGAGTCACTGATCCCCAAAGATAACCTGGATAGGGGCTGGAGAACCAGCACAGACTGGTCTTGCAGAGGCTGGGGTTGGGGGAATCTCTTTGGTGTCACCCAGACAGAATCAAGGCAGCTGCTGCCTGGCCCCTCTCGCTGGCCCCTTACCAGGAATGACCAACCATGAGACACTACAGCAGATCAGCCGTGGATACCGCCTGCCACGCCCAGCTGCCTGCCCAGCAGAGGTCTATGTGCTTATGGTGGAGTGCTGGAAGAGCAGCCCCGAGGAGCGTCCCACCTTCGCCACACTGAGGGAGAAGCTGAACACGATACACCGGCGGCTCCATCTGAGCCTCACGTGACCACGTCTCCAGCCCCACAGGCAGCAGTTCTGGCAACTGCTTCCTGAAGGGTGTCTCCCCAGGGAACGCTCGTCACTAACACACACGGGAGATGCTATACACCTGGGAACGGCAACAGCCTGCGAGAACCAAACACACCAGATGGATACATGCAGACAGGGCCTGGTCATGAGTACCCACTTAGAAGTGAGGGCTGATGTCCTCCTCCTGGCATAGTTTGAATCCCTGGTGTTTCCAAAGTGTTGATACACAGAAGGGCTGTAAGAAAGTGCTGGACAAAGGAATTCCAGCAAAGCCAGCCGTTTCCTCCCTGCCCTCACCTCACTCTGGGTTCCTCTGCTCCCTCCTAAGATCGGGGATGAGAAGCCCAATTTCTCTCAAGTCTTACTGTGGATTTGATGGAATATCTGGTGTGAGGGTTCCCAAGTGTATCTCAGCCTTTTGAGCTGGGTACTCAGAGGAGACAGTAGCATCCCCTGCCCAGCCCACTGCCCCACAGGTATGGGGAAACCTTAGGCACACAGAGTCAGCTCCAATAAATGTGTTCTAAACGGATTCACATAGCGGCTCCCAGAATGGAGTGCTGGAGACTCTAAAAGATGGGAGCCGAAGCGGCATTACAGTGTGGACCCCCAAGATATTAGCGGTGAAGATTGCCGGAGCCAAGTGAATAGCCTCTTCCAGTTCCCCGGCCTGGGGCTGAAGTCAGAAGGCTTTTCAGTTTCAGAAAGGTGGTCAGAACTCCTAGACCTTTTCCAGATGCAGAAGGATGGAGACATAGGGAGGGTTCTGACAACCAGACAACCTACTTTCTGGGGCAAAGCCCCTGTGGGTCACTTTTGTGTTTGAGCATGACACCTGCAGAAGTTGGGTCCTGGGTCACTCAACACTTTAACCAGGAGTGGTACACTGGGGATTAGGGGCCTCTGCTCAGGGACCCAAGGCCATTTCACTCTCCCAGAAGCTGTATCCAGAAGGCTGTAAGGCAGAAAGCCTGGCAGTCCCCTAGAGGAAATGGAATTTGGGGCCAGCTCTGCACCCACTGAGGCCAATTTGTTCATGATCACCAACCATATTTGTGGGTTGGGTAACAGGGAACTGGGAGCTGAACTTCACGTGTGACGTGTTAAGTTACAGCAAAGAGTTTGGGGCTTAGCCAGTCATGGGCTTTCTCGCGAGGAAGCAGGGCTGAATGAGAGGGACTGAGGGCATGGATTGCACCATAGATGGAGGTGGTGAGAACCCAGCCAACCTGGCTGCAGGTTCAGAACTGGATGGTCCTAGGAGCTGTGGAGTCCAGGCCAACAGAGTGTGCTGACGGTCTCTGTAGGTGACTGAGGCTTCTCTGCCTTAACCCGCAGCTCTGATCTCTGGAGGGGAAGAATCTGGAACTGGCAGTTGGCTGCGGGGGGGGGGGGGGGGCTCCCTGCCTTGCCAGCACACAGAACAGCAGTGTGGGCCCAAGGGCTGGTATAAGATGGTAGCATTCTGATGTTAAGAGGCTACCATGAGTCAAACCAGGAGGACACTAGAGACAGGATGGCACAGCCTGGGGAGAAAGATGGCACTGGGATTGTGGCCAAGCCACGGAAGCAGGTTTGGCTGGGTCTTGGCACATTCCTGTGTGTTTAGTCAACCAAAGATGAACAGGTTTGGCCCTCCTTGGAGAGGCCAAGGACTTTTGAGCTACCCGATGTATCTTCCATTGAGCTGCCCACGGTCTCATCTAGGGACACATAGCTGTCTGGGACACAGCTTGGACTCAGAGGCTCACAACTCGAGGGTTCTGGAGCAGACAAGGGAGGCAACCACAGAGTTCCTGAGGCTGACCTCTGCCTGTACCATCCTTCCTCCTTTCCTCTTCCTCCAATGCCTCTTCCCCACACCTTATAGTTGGGCTGGGTTGGTGTGAAGTTACTAAGTAATACATGTTGCTATCCTTAATCCTATTAGGAAGCCGGGGAGTCGTGCTATATAGCTCTTCAAAGAAAATTCAAGACCTGGCCCAGTTCTCACCAGTAGATTGTTAGCATGCGTATGGACCAGGGTTTGATCCTTAGCATGAAGCAGCACCATTCCCACGCTTCCCTGCCAAAAAAATGAAAAAAAAAAAAAAAAAAAAGAAAAGAAAAGAAAAGGACGAAAAAGATTCAAATAGTGCTGCAGCCTGGATAGCCGAGACTGGCAGGGGATGCCGGGATTGAGACACCAAGGCTTCTTTTCAGGTGGAAGAAGAACACCAACCTTTATTTTGCCGAGCAACCTTTATACCTCTACTCCTTCTGTGGAGACCAGCCGCTGGCCAGAAAGAACACAAACATCCTTGTCAATTACATGTTACGCATTCTTACGGACTTGTCAATTTCCCTTCCCACCCCTCTCTGTGGCTGTCCTCCTGTATAGGAGCACCCCATAGCGGACACAACTGATCAGCCGGTGTGAGAAAGGCAGTTAGGGTCCCTCTGGAGATGGGGAATCTTTGGAGTTTTAAAGGTTTAATGGGAGGAGAAGGGACAGTTAGGAAGACTAGAACAATCACAAGCAGGGCTGCCAGAAATTGGGGAAACATGGGAGGTGAGTTGGAAAGGGGCCTGGGAGGGGTGTGGGGGGTAGGTAGCAGCAAAGAACAGGAGGGAAGGTTGGGAAAGAGGGAGGAGGGGTTTCAGAGGCCCCGGTGGTATGGGCACGTCTTAGTCATTCCTCACTTTCTATGGCTGCCTTCTTGTGTACGTATCTGGGAAGACAGGACGGTGCCTGCTTCTTGAGCTGATGTCTATAGTCTACAGACAAGTCAGAAGATACCAGGAAGCCCTCTAAACCATCCCATAACCCACACAGATGTGTATGCCTTCATATCCCTTGGCTCTTGTTGTGTTCCCAGCTGTCAGCATGTGGTCTAGCATGCTGTCCTGGGGCGGGGGGGGGGGGGGGGCTTCTTCAGTATACAGGGGCATCTGAGCATTCTTACTTAAAGGAGCCAGAGTTTTATAGCAGCTCAGGCTGGGGTATGTCCTGTCTTGGTCCACAAGTCACACCCAGGCCCCTGCCACCCTTGTTTCTAATGCAGGTCCTACCTGATTGTCATGATGCCATCCCTAGATCTAGTCCTGCCAGTGTCTGGTGGGTGGACACCTATCCAGGGAGGTGGCTGTCAGGACTGTCAAGTCCTTCATGACTCTCAGTATCTGTTAGTGTGTGCTCCATTGGCAGGAGGCACCAGTCAGTGTGGGAGGGTTTCTTTGTAGAAAAGGCAGCTCCTGGCTCTCAACTCTGTTCCTTGTGTGTTCTAGCAACCTGCCCACCGTCCTTGAGATTTCCCACCACCGCTCCCCTCCCCATTCTTTGGCTCTAAGACTCACACCCAGGGGTTGAGGGCTCAGCTGATAGCTGTATGCTCACCGTCTAGTAGGCTATTCCTTGTAACTGCGACTGGACCTTGTAAAGAGGTTGTTTAGATGGCAGACTTCCACTGGAGAAGAGTGTGAACACCCGGCATGGATTGATCCTGAGGACAAAAGGACATACAGGGTCAGAAGGTCCTTTGGGGTGGAGACACTAGAGTCCATCTCCAATGGGTACTAGGAGAGGCTGCTCTTCTGACCGTCATAAGGAAGTAGGTGTGACTAGCTTGCTGGGGAAAATCCTGCCTGTCCCTGCCAGCAGCAAGTGTCTACAAGCAGCTCACAGCTGGCTCTGCCATAGAGCCTGCCATGATGTCTTGGGACAAGGACTACCCGGGCCCTAAGTACATAGGCCTTTGGGACTTCAAGGCGCGAACAAAGGATGAACTGAGCTTTCAGGCAGGAGACCTCCTGCGTGTCACCAGGAAGGAGGAAAAGTGGTGGTGGGCCACCCTGCTGGATGAGGCAGGCAAGGCCTTGGCTGAGGGCTATGTGCCCCACGATTACCTGGCTGAGAAGGAAACTGTGGAGTCTGAGCCGTGAGTGACCCTGGAGAGATGGTACAGGGGGAGGGGTGGGAATTGGGATGGACTGAGGAAGTCAGAGAGTATAAGATCCTAGCTAGACATTCAGTTGGTCATACTCTGATCCTTAACATCCTGGTACAAGGGTTGCCAATGGGGCTGTGCCTCTGTGTGGCACTGACTGGGGGAATGGGGCCTCTCCTTTGGACCTACCCATGACTACTTTCCAGCCATAAGTACTGTTCTGCTAGGACTCAGATAGGACAGAAGGGCCCAGTGTGGATTTTTAGGATGCTGGCTGTAAGGGACAAGATCTGTGTGGGAATTCAAGAGCTGTTGGAGGTGTGAAGTGCTCACTTTCCAAGCAGTCAGAACCAGATGTGCGACCTAGTTACAGGAAACCGAAGGCTACCGGGGCACGCCTATCTATCACCTATCACGTTTGGGTACATGGGGGTACATACCAACATGGTGGTATGTATCTTCATGTTCCCTCAAGAACCCCAGTTCACTGTTCCTGGCCACATACCTGAGCCCCTAGAGGCTTTGAGGAACTACAGTAGTGCCTAGTGTGGGCACTGCCCACAGCCACCCAATTGCTCTGGGCTAAGGTTCGGAAGGGTCCAGCAGGAGGGGTCTCTTGTTTTGCTCCTCAGGCCCCCCCTCCCTAACTCCTCATCTCACATTGAGCACCTGTTGTGCTCAGTGGAAGACTGAGCGCACAGGAGACAAAAACCAGTGGTAAACGGTACCTATGACAGTTTCAGAAACGGGCTCATGATGGGAACAAGGTAGATGGGTGGTGTACATGAAAGACCGAGATGAGTCAGGTGGTGGCACATGCCTTTAGCACTCAGGGGATAAAGGCAGATGGATCTGTAAATTCAAGGGCAGTCTGGTCTACGTAGTGAGGTCCTGTGGTGAGGGAAGGGGAGCAGAAAGAAGGGATCCTGTATAGAGAAGAGGCCACTATAGCAAGAGCGAAGGCCCCGAGGTGCTGAGACTCCAACACAGGTGAAGAAGTCAGAAGAGCAAAGCAGAGGCGGCCAAGTGGTCAGAGGGGTCTGTGGGAGAGATGAGAACTTCAAGAGTTTGAGATGAATGTTGGGCTCCCTATGGAGCCCATGTTCCAACCATTCTTGAGGGAGTTGGAGACTCCATGGACAGAGATGACCTATGGAATTCCAATGACCTATGGACTTTCACCTGTAGTTCAGTTCAGGCATGTCCAGCCCGTGTGTTGGAAGCTAGCATGTAGAAAGACTTCGATGGGAGAGTATGTGCCACTGTGTCTATGCAAGTAGATAAGGGTGTGCTTAACAGTATATGTGCATACTTGTGTAAGCATGCAAATGTGAGTGCATGGATGGGTGTGTGTGTCTGTGCACATAAGTGCACATGTGCAAATGGCTACATGATTATGTGAACAGGTGTATGAAAGTGTAAGCCAGGAAGCAGCCCTGGGGAGCTGGTGGGATCCCTCTCCCCCCTACTTCTGGGCCAAGGCTGGGATCTGTAGGTCTGTGTTGTGGGATTCCCCTCTGTAGGCTGTGAATATGTTTTATTGTCATTGGTTAATAAAGAAGCTGCTTTCAGCCAATGGCTTAACAGAATATAGCCAGGTTAGAATATATATATATGTATATATATATATATATATATATATAGAGAGAGAGAGAGAGAGAGAGAGAGAGAGAGTGTGTGTAGGTGGAGTCAGAGAGATGCCATGTAGCTGCAGAAGGAGACAGACACCCTGGAACCTTGCTGATAAACAATGAGCCTCGTGGTAATTCACAGAATAATAGAAATGGGTTATTTTAAGATATAGGTGCTAGCTGGCAATACGCCTAAGTGATTGGTCAAGCGGTGTTTTAATTAATATAGTTTCTGTGTGATTATTTTGAGTCTAGGCAGCTAGGAAATGAATGAGCAGCTTCCATCAACAGGTCTGGTCCCCATGATGGAACTGTAAGCCTTTGGGGGGGTGGACTGATACACAGGTGGTCATCGTCCAGAGCAGGATGATAGGTAGTGCTTTCCTATTCTACTTCCGGGCCATTTAGGGTTTCTGGGGTCCACAATGGGCCCAAAGGCCTCTGCAGGGTTGGGAGCAGCATGAGAGAGAGGCAGCTTAGTTGGGAGCCGGGGTAGCTAGGACTCCAGATGGACATGGCAAGGGTTAGAGAGTTGAGAGACTGGGTGGATGTGGGGCTGGGGTGAGGATCAAGAGGCTGAGGTTGACTTTCTCCCCTGCAGGTGGTTCTTTGGTTGCATCTCCCGCTTGGAGGCCATGGACAGGCTGCAGGCTGAGGACAACTCAAAGGGAGCCTTCCTGGTCAGAGTCAGCAAGAAGCCAGGAGCAGACTATGTCCTTTCTGGTACTGCTTCTCAGATCTCCCCTCACCTATGCTGGCTCTGAGGCTCTCTCGACCACATGGTCATCTGCCTTTCTTCTGGTTGTGAAGTCGGGGACATCTTTCTCTTCCACTGGAAGCCCCGACTTCTCCAATTTTCAGTCTTTGGGGGCAGAAAGCCAGGGGTTCTTCAAGCTGGGTTTTTCCCCGTGCTTTCTGGCATGTCTTGTGTGTGTCATGGAAGCCAAGGCTTCACAGGTGTTCCACTGAACACAAGGCCCAGTAATTTCCTGCACTCCATGGCTTATGACAGGAGGGCCAGGTAGCCATGGGCAAGCAGTGTTCAGGGTGGGATCAGGGGTAGGAAGAGTGGGGGACATCCAAGGTAGGATGCATGCTTATGCCTCTTTCTGCCGGCCACCCACCCCAGTGCGGGACACTCAGGCCGTGCGACATTACAGGATCTGGAGGGATGACATGGGCTGGCTGCACCTGAATGAGGCGGTATCCTTCCCCGGCCTGTCTGAGCTTGTGGACTACCACAAGACCCAGAGCCTGTCCCACGGCCTGAAACTGACCATGCCCTGCTGTAAGGTAGGCCATTGGCTCCTCTGTGACACAGTTGCTTGGGGTCAGACAAGTGGAGTACAATGTGGGGGCAGGAGGGGTTCCGAAGATGGCATTCCTCTTGACTGTCACTCTTACTACACTGGCTCACCAGAGTTCAGTTGTGCCCCTGCCAAGTCCTGACCCCTGGTAAGCCTGACGACAAGGGTTGCTGACCAATTGCCTGAGGGAGCTTATCAACCTTGGTGGATGAAGACAGCTGCATTTTTACGCAAGACACGCAGATATTACTACGCTGGATGTATCTCTGAATTTAAAGATAAACAGGGCTCCTATCGTGGGGTTCAGAGCAAACCCTTCCTGAAGACAGAAGATAAACTGAGTGACCCAGCTATCACTCCTACCACCACCATCACCCTTTCTGTTTCTCCAGCAAAAATCTGAGTCCTTGCCTCACTGGGATGACTGGGAGAGGCCAAGGGAGGAGTTCACGCTCTGTAAGAAGCTGGGGGCCGGCTACTTTGGGGAGGTCTTCGAAGGGCTCTGGAAGGACCAGATCCGTGTGGCCGTGAAAGTGATCTCTAGAGGTGAGTGGGTCACATGCTACTTCCATCCTAGCCCTGCCAGTGGGCATGTCGAGTCTCACCACACTGAGGGCATCCCAACATCCTGACTGGGCACCTGCATCATGGTGGGAGTCATTTCTTCCACCTGTACCCATTTTTATTGAAACAAGTCACCGGAAGTTTGAGTTTCACCCAGAATCCCAGCCTCGCCCTCAGGTTTATACCCAATACCTCAAACATCAGGTCAGCCAAGACCTTGATAACATCCACCTGGGAAATGTTGGTCAGGTGGGGCATAGGAGAGCAGATGATACATCGGGTTTAGGGCACCAAGGCAAGGCCTTGGTGGTGGGGGCTTTAGCCGTTGTCTCCCTAGGCTGCCCGTATTTCCTGAGCTGTTTCAGGAGGCCCTAGCTCCTCCTTGGGGCACAGGTCAAGGGCTGTATTCACTGAGACTGGTGTCTCTCAGACAACCTTCTACACCAGCACACCTTCCAGTCTGAGATCCAGGCCATGAAGAAGCTGCGGCACAAGCACATCCTGGCACTGTATGCTGTGGCATCTGCAGGGGATCCGGTCTACATCATCACGGAGCTCATGCCCAAGGGGAATCTGCTGCAGTTATTGCGGGGTAAGTGGCAAGCTTCACCTTCCTTTCCCTGAGATGAAAGTGCAGGAGGCAGCAGGACACACACACAGAGAGACACACACACAGACACAGACACACAGAGACACACACACAGACACACACACACTCACAGATATGCAGACCCCACCCATTCCTGCCTGACCCACACAAAACAGCTGGGAGTTCCCAGATAACCTTGTTGCTTTCTGGTTTAAAAAGATACTTTTTCTTTCTTTTCTTTTCTTTCCTTTTCTAAGCAGTGGTTGTTTGGGTTGGGACTGGAGAGGTGGCTCAACAGGTTAGGGCACTTATTGTTCTTACAAAGGACCAGAGTTTAGTTTCCAGCACCCACATGCTATCCATGATTCTAGTTCTAACACCCTCTTCTGGCCTCTGGAGGCACCAGGCATGCATACAGTACACAGACATACATGCAGGCAAAATACTCAGATACTTAAAATATATTTAAAAACTGAAGAGGGAAGCCGAGCAAAGTGGCACAGGCCTTTAATCCCAGCACTCAGAGACAGGTTGAACTCTGAGTTCGATGCCAGCCTGGTCTACAGAGCAAGTTCCAGGATAGCCAGAGCTACACAGAGAAACTCTGTCTTGAATCCCTGCTCACCACCACTACCACCACCACCACCAACAACAAAAAAATCCCCTAAAGATGGAGATCAAGGAAAGGCATACACATGTATACATGTGCACGTACCCATAGTAACAAGTAACACACACACTACATCCCCTCATACACACAAATTAACAAAACAAAACAAAAACCAAAATGGCTGGGGAGATGGCTCGGTGGGTGGGTACAGTGTTTGCTATGGAAGCATGAGGACCTGCATTTTCAATCTCCAGACTATTGTAAAGCTAAGCATGGAAGCAGCCTGTTATCCCAAGGCTCCTACCGTGAGATGGGAGGAAATGGGAGAATCCTTGTTTTCTCTGGCTCTGCACCAAACAACAAAAACTCTCCTCATAATTGTCAGTCATGAAGACTAACATCCAAGATTGTCTTCTGACCGCCACACACATGTCCACATACATGTATACATACATGACAATGAAGAAAAGCAAATGACTTAAACTATGACGAATCTACCAGTGCCTGATCATAAAGTTTGAAAAGGTACCGATAAGTACAGAAAAGAACACCCGTCCACAATCTCTATACCCACTGTTAACTGAGGTCACTGCTATAGGCTCTGTGTAGCCTGCTGGTGAACTGCTTCTGCCCACCAGCCCCTCTCTCTTCTTGAGACCTGCTGTCCTGTCACAACTAAACACACTGATACACAAACACATGCAAAACACTGACACACACAAATATAGACCTTCACACACGGCACAGACACACCCTCACACAACTCTCACCCACAAGAGGACACCCCCGTCTGTTTTCTTCAACACAAAACCAGACCATCTTCATCAGCTGAGATGCGGTACAAAGATGTCGCCCAGCTTCACACATCAGTGAAAGGGAATGGGGCGGCGTAGGACAATCGATCATGCCTGGCGCATATGTATCACGTCATGTGTAGGGTAATCGTGCCTGGGGCATATGTATTACGTGTAGGGCAATCGATCATGCCTGGGGCATATGTATCACGTGTAGTGCAGTCGTGCCTTGGACATATGTATTAACACATCGCTAGCATCTGGAAGAGCAAAGTGTAGTCTACATGTTTCATAAGCGGTTTCTGCAGGAAGTAGTCTTTCAGAAACAAAACACATGCCCCTTGTAGGCATAACACTGGTTGGATGTGCAACCTCTAGAAAGTCCAGTGGCTACCATACACCAAGACTATCTTGCAGCAACATCTTTGCCCGTAGATTGCTTTATAATCCCTGGAAAGGGTGTGGGACAGAGTATGTGTGTGTTCTTCGTCTCTAAGTACAGAACTGCAGAAGGGCTAGGGCTGTCCATGTTCCAATTAAGCCAGCCCAGCTGCCCTCTGCTGGAGCCTTCACAGCCGCAACAAATGAGAACTGAGCTCTGGCCAATTGACTTTGGCCTCTTATCACCCTGCAGACTCCGGTGAGAAAGGCCTGCCTATTTCGGAACTGCTGGACTTTGCATCACAGGTTGCTGAGGGCATGTGCTACCTGGAATCTCAGAATTACATCCACCGTGACCTGGCTGCTAGGAATGTTCTTGTTACAGGGAACAATCTCTGCAAAGTGGGGGACTTCGGGCTGGCCAGGCTTGTCAAGGTAGGACCCTTGGAAGTAGAAGCCAGAAGCAGGAATGGGGATTTATTTTGCAAGCCTTGAGCTGAACCCAGCCACGGGAAAGATGAGTTCTCGATAGGGTGGTGTTAACAGGCAAGGGAATGGCTTCATTCATACAGCCACAGCCTTGTTTATGCCACACTGGCCCAGCTCTGGGTACCTTGGACACAGCCATATGCATTGAGCTTTTCCTGTTCCCACACATTGCAGCTCTTCCCTTGTCGTGAACTGGCACTTTTGATACAAAGGGCCTAGCCATGATTCTAGCTGCATTGGTAGCAGTTACCTCTGGTAGCTGTGGGGTGGTGTCGGTGGGTCAGATGATAAGGAAGTGTGTTTACACCTTCCCACTAGGACCTTGGCATCCGTGCCTGTCCATGCTACATAGGAAGGGTAAAAGCAGTAGCTCCCTCTAGGGTCAGGGCCCCACAACAAGCCATCTTATTACAGGAGGACATCTACCTTTCCCACAACCACAACATCCCCTACAAATGGACAGCACCTGAGGCACTCTCCCGAGGGCATTACTCCATCAAATCTGATGTCTGGTCTTTTGGGATTCTCCTCTATGAAATTTTCAGCAAGGGGCTGGTGCCCTATCCAGGTATTATCCCCAAAATGCCCCCAAATGTGGACAGGCAGTGAGGTGGAGTGGGGGGCAGGTCTTGAATGGCTGACAGATATGACAGGAGCTACTTTCCAGAGCCTCCAGAGCCCCATCCCTGTTCTGTTCTTTGAGCATCCAGGAGCTGCTGCTGAGATCACTTCCTGGAGACATTGTCCTCAGGGAAGGACACAGACAGTGTGCTAGAAAATGTTCAGAGTATGGCGGTGGTCATTCTTGTTGGAGACAGCATTCAGGGAGGGGCCAAAGGCAGCTGGGTGTAGCTTTCAGGGATTGGAGGGTGGACACTAGCTTCTTAGCTCTCATTTCTCTCCTCCCATGGGCCACAGGCATGTCCAATCATGAGGCCTTCCTGAGGGTGAATGCCGGCTACCGCATGCCATGCCCCCAGGATTGCCCACCCACCATGCACAAACTGATGCTCAGCTGCTGGAGCTCAGACCCCAAACAGAGACCTTGCTTCAAAGCCCTGTGTGAGAAGCTCTCCGACACCAGCTGGTATGAGAACCTGGTCTGAGCTCCTTGGATGTGGCCAGGACCCATGGAAGAGAGACTTCATGATTATCCTGGACCCCCACCGAAGCTGCGCACCATCCTTCAGCTTGCCGAGATGAAGGAATAGAAAACATACCAAGCATACCTCAGATACTCCATGCTGTAAAGGAAAAAGTGAAGAGGGAGCCATACTCCGTTCCCATCTATCTTCCGGGAGACAGTTCACAAAATCCCAGAGGCCATCCCGGCTTCCTCCCTTCTGTGAAGACTTCATATGACAGAGAAGCCAAGAAGGGTCTCAGCAACAGGCCTGGGAGTTCTTGGCAGCACATCCCTTCCAGAGCGTACCTGTCCTTGGCCACTCCTCTGCTCAGCTATCCACACACTCCCCACCCCTTGGCACCTTAATTCCTCAGACTCCTGTGTCGCAGAGCAAGTTTTGGAGCTTCAGGTCCTTTCCCTTCAGAGACAGCTGCTTCTGTCCTGAGCTCATGAGACACAACACCCTTTGTAGAAAACCACTGACCCCATGCTCTGCCCCGTCCTCCGTTCTCCCCTTTCTGTTTGGACCTGACTCTTCCCAGATGACTCTGGCCCAGAGCTGCTTTCCTGTCTCCAGTGTTCTGAAGCCCAGCCGGACTATCTGTTCTCTGTGTCAGCTCCTTATGCTTGGACATTGGGGCCGCAGTTCTCAGGGGGTGAGAGTACCCCAAAAGCATCTACCGGAGGATGCCTTACTGCAAGTGGGTATAACCCTCTCAGCACAAACCTACCAGCTGTTTCCAGACTGACCTCTCAAATCGGGTGAACGTGCCCCAGCCTCCCTTGAGGAAATGTCCTCTCTGAATCCAAGAGATGACACTGTCTGTGCTACTTCCTGTAAAGTCAAGCTGTCTTTTAAAAATACAGCCCTCAGCTGGATGATGGTGCACACCATTAATCCCAGCACTTGGGAGGCAGAGACAGGCGGATCTCTGTGAGTTTGAGGACAGCATAGCCTACAAAGCAAGTTCCAGAAGCTCCAAAGCTACACAGGGAAACTCTGTCTCAGGGAAAAAAAAAGTGTTGGTAAAATAAAAACAGGTATGTTCTCGGGTGTGTCAGCGCTGAGTATGTATGTTCTTAGGTGTGTCAGCACTGACTGATATAGACTAGTTAGTGGCTCTCAACCTTCCTAACGCTGTGACCCTTTAATACAGTTGCTCATGTCATGGTGACCCCCAACCATAAAATTATTTTTGTTGCTAGTTCATAACTGCAACCTTGCTTCTGTTATGAGTCGTAATGTAAATATTTTTGGAGGCAAAGGTTTGATAAGGGGGGTCACGACCCACAGGTTAAAATCATTGAACTAGATAGGCTGCCCGCCACCCCCAGTGTTTAAACAAGTTCATTAATTCTACTGGGTATTTAAAATGCTGAAGCCAGAAATGGAAGCCCAGAGCACCATACAGAGGAAGGACGTGACAGGGTGGTCTTTGCTTCTGTGGTGTTGGTGATATTTGCTTGATTAGTCACCAAGAGCAACTTTGTGCTGATACCTTGTGAGACCTTCATGACCATAACTGTTGAGTGGATAGGAATGTAAGCTGGGTAAAAGTTTAAATAAACTTTCAACAATAAAAGTCATTTTACAACCTTCAGCTTGTTCAGGCTTGAGAAATTTTTGTTATTCAACTTTGGGGTAATTCCTAAGGAAACATAAACTTAAGCTGATCTGCTTGTGGCCTCCGGTTTTACACAGGACGAAGGATCTGGGTAAATCTAAGATGCTGTGCAGTCTGTAGGACGAGCTGCCGCGGGGCCTGCAAAGGTTTCCTCCTTTGCCTAGTGCTGGCAGCCCATGGTTCATGGGTGCCTACATCCGAGTTTGCACTAGAACTGGGGGACCTAAGAGTTAGGAATGATAATAGTGTAATTAGAACCACTAGAAATGACGAGGAAAACCTCCTGTGTGCAAAGCAGATGAGGAAAACTCCATTTGTGGTAAGGCTGTCACTTAGAGAGGAAGAGAATCATTGAGTGTTCCAGATGATGAAAAGGAGAAAAAGATGACGGATCACCCCCACCCTCCAGCCCATTTTTTTTTTTTTTTTTTTTTTTTT